AAAAAAAAACTCCCAAACCCCCTAAACCCTAAACCCTAAACCCTAAAACCCCTAAACCCTAAACCCTAAAACCCCTAAACCCTGAACCCTAAAACCCCTAAACCCTAAACCCTAAAACCCCTAAACCCCAGCAGCGACTTTCAGGTCGGCGGTCCGACAGAATCCGTCGGACTGGAAGCCTCCAAGCCCGGAAGGCAAAAAATATCAATTGTTGTAAGGGGTCTTTCTAGGGTTTAAGGTTTTGGGTTTAGGGTTTTGGGTTTACACTCTCACAACTCGGACAAGCCAGGCGAGGATCCATAGGTGCATAAGTCGGCGTGACACTGTAAGCTGCCCATGCGTTTAGGGTTTGGGGTTTAGGTGTTTGGGTTTAGGGTCTAGGTTTGTTTTTTGTCGCCCCTTTTCCCTAGCATGTTGCGCATGCCTCCAGAAGGGTTTGGGGTTTTGGGTTTAGGGTTTAGGGGGTTTAGGACAGTTTGGGGGTTTAGGCTCACCAACTGACCAATGCTTGATAGTACTGCGGCGCGTGCCTCGGAACATTTGGGTTCGATCCGATGTCGTACGGTATGGAGTCAATCCGAACCGGCACAAAGCTCCCTGGGAGTAGTGTGAATTCATCACATCGCTCGACCGCGAAATCGTCAATTGGCATGAGGGTTCTCCATAGACCCAAAAGTCTGGTCCTCGGAGGCCAACCCTATAAACCCTAAACCTAAACCCTAATGGCTGCGGCTCAAGCTTGTGGAGCGTCTGATCGGTGCAACAGCAACCCCAACCCGCACGGTCAGCCGCTCTCGACGGCGACTGCATCGAAAAACAAACCAACAGACCGATGCTGCCGAGCTATCTTTTGTGGGGCCGCAGGTGGATGTGTTCTCATTTGCCGGCGAGCCCCGTGCCACTGACGCGGTCGGCCAGCACGCGCTGGTGGCTTTGGCAAGCGGGGATGCTCATGATGCAGCAGCACTCCCTGTGGCAGCGATCGAGTCTGACGCTGGGTCAGGGGCAAAGTATGCGGTGCATAGCATGGCGGGCCCACCAGTTAATCACGTCGCCAAGTAGCGACCATGACGGGCCGCAGGATGATGGTGATGATGCTGCTGCTGATGATGATGATGATGGTGACTGGGAGGTCGTGCTACACCACTTTCAGTTGGTCGGCCATGTATGCTTCCAGTGGGATGGAGGCGGCCACACCTGCTATGTCCTCACACCGAAACTTGTGCCGTGGCAGGGTAATAGCACCGATGCTCCAGAGTGTCTGCGGCACCACAAGAGAGACATCACGTGAGTTCGCTTGCTGTTTGGAAACATACCACCCAGTCGCTTTTTCGCATGAAAGCCTGCATATACGGGTCCTAATTTATTAGGAGGGGTTTAGGGGCTTAGGGTTTAAGGTTTAGTGGTTAGGGTTGAGGGTTTAGTGGGAGACTTGGAGTCGCTGTTTAAGGCTGGCCCACGCACTCCCCTCATCCCCCGGAAAGGTTTTGACACTCTTGGTACACTTCTCGATTTGTGTGTGTCATCCTTGCGCAGAGGCCATGCTAATCACTGCTAATCTTCTCTATATCGTTCCAGTTTTATCGGATGATCCCCGAAGG